AATGAGCAGATTTCACAGCCTCTAAACAGGATTGCCACAGGCCCCGGCCTGTCCTCCAGGTTGCTATGATCCCCTGGCCAGCCAGACAAAGAAGGACAGACACGCTGAGCACAGCACTAATCTACTATGGCAGACACACACACGCATTTCACGTACACGCACACTGTCCTATGTGCCTGCCTGCTTTGTGACGAAATTAAAGAGGTAGTGGAGTGATAAGAATGAGAGGGAGAGCGGAGAGAGGGGGAGACAGAGAGGATGATCCCTTCACGGTTTTCACCTCAGTGCTCATATCGATCACTCATTCTCACTTTCTACTACCATTCCAAGTTTAAAAAGGTCCAACGATTGTGTTTGCTGGTGGTATAAATCAGCCGAACGCTATCATGCTTTACAGGAAAAACTGTGTCAACTTTGACGAATAAAGTACAGACATAGTATGCATTTCTATCAAGTAGGATTAAAGGCTATCATAGCATAATGAGTGAAGGTTACGTTAGCAGTTATTCTGTGCTGTACACATTCAGAGTTCAGACTTTCGACTTTGGTCAGAGACAACATTTAAGCAGAAGCAGATAGGAAAAGCACAGTGGTTTTGGAAACGGCTAGCCTGGCTTTCTCCAAATGTAACAAAATTCCCCTACCAGCTCCTCCACGGTTCACTAATTAGTACATTACATGCAAGTTGTCTTTCAAGCCTGTCACATGTTTATTTGTGAGCTTCAAAGGAGCTGTTAGGTTGAAGTTGTTACATGTATTGTAACAACAACCTAACCCAACCTAACCTTGGCTCTAGCTTTGTACTTAACTATATGACTGTATAAACATTAAAGAGGTAACAATTTCTCTTCAAGAAGGCATATAAGCACATTTTCCCAATGTTAAAAATCACCATATGATTGGTTTTGAGGATAGTACAATTACAAAGTTATGGCCTTGCTACATGTAGAAGACAAAAGATGGGTTAGATAATAATAAAATATTGTGGTGCAATATGATACGTTTATTTTCCTCTGCTTAGTAATATTCTTAAATTAAGCGTTTTTTCTGATCTGCGGTCGAAGTTGATATTGTGTTGCATTTTGGGGATTTAAATGGTCAACTTGTATTATGTATTTGTGGAAGTAACTTCAGAAAGTTGGCATATTTACTTAAAGGAAATGTAAATGCAGTCGTATGAGACTGTAGCTCGAAATGTTTTGTTTGGAACTCTCTGGAATTGTCCCTGTCTTAAGATCATATTTGACTCTGAGCCAAATTGAAAGTTTAACACACCAGCAAGACAAGACCCAGGGCTGTTAACCTGACTCCATGTGACATTCAGGTGTTTGGGGTGACACTCTTACCCGTAGCGAGGTGATGGTCGACGGGTCTCTGATCCGACCGTCGTCATCCTTCAGGTTGTAGCCCTCCGGACGCTTGTCTCTCTCGCTGATCTTCCACAGCTTCACCGTCTTGTCTGGGATGGATACATCACACAAACACCAACAGGGAGACACACAGAAACACAAAATACAGTCATATCACAGCTCACTACAGTGAATCTCAAATACAAGATGTGGGGGGTGGGGCGGCCAATCTGGCGTGTAGCTGGGCAGCAGCCAGCAGGAATGATGAATTGCGGCTCCTGTTTACATTTTGATGTCACAGATATCAATCTACATGTGGACTACATTTTCCTTCAGCAGTGTATGCTCACCATGAAAAAGCCATCTGGGCACTTTTCATTTCAGTCTCACACAGACACCAGTTACATCCCATCTTCTCCGGCTAGTGAGGGGGATGGTGGCAGCAGTCAGGTTGTTGCCACTTCTTTTTTTAATTTCCGCTGTGAGTATTGGTGTTGGAGCAGCGAGGCCATCACCACAGGATCCTCCACCATCTGCTCCAGCCAACTCTAGCGCTTCTGTAGCAGCCATGCATGAAGCCCACAATCTGCAAGACGTCTCTCTGCTGATGTGTGTGAGCTAGCGTCCATGTATGGTGGCACATGCTTTGATATGTGTGTGTGGGTGTGTTCCTGGTGTGGCAACCATGCATGAAGTTCTCAATCTGAAACGCTTCTGCTGGCGGCACTTGCTCAGCCAAGCGGAAAACCAATACATTCGCACAGACAGTCAAAAAGACATTTTGATGTGATATTAATAACGTCTCCTCATAAATCAAGTGTATATCTGACCATTCAGCAGAGTGAGGAATGAACCATGGCTATACTCAACACCGTTATTGAGTAACAATAACACTCTGCCCACATTTAAACACACTCTCATCATGACTGATGAATGGTCTATTATTTAACCACTTTGCCATGCTAATACAGTAGAGGGCCGCTAACTGACCGCTAACTGACTGACCGTTGGTGGAAAGCAGGAAGTAGGCGGCGTTCTGCTGTGGAAGCCATTTGATCTTGTTGATCTTCTCCTCAATCTCCAAGCTCTTCAGGTAGTCAAACTCCGGCTCGTGGCTCTGGAATGTGCTGTAAACATTGTACTCCCCTCGACGCTGGGGTTGGCTCTTACTCTGCAAGAAGAGAAACATAGTGAGAGGGCAGTTCATTGGCTGTTAACTGCAGATGATTCAATATTGATATTGGTGTAAATGTTCATTGTATTCAATTCAATCTCCCCTAAAGTATCTTCAATGTGAGATGTTCTATTTTTAGCCATGCTAGTGGCTGTAAATTGGTCCCGTGACTTCTCATCTTGAGCCATTATTTGGTCATATTTGGCTAATTATTACTTGTTTATGCTCACGTCATGTGAGACTGCACAACTGATGACCTTTTTATTAGCCTCTGTTTCAATTTGTGTAGCTAGCACATTTTGGCATTGTAAACATTGTCAATGCTAACCATCAGCCTGTTAGCTGTTAGCATTGTTTTACTATTACTTATTTGTTTTAGCACTCCATAGCAGCTACACTGTGGATTACATCATTCTATTTCAATATCTATATTTGTATGGCTTCTCCCTGACATGAAACTTAAATTGTAGAGGTACTTTGCACCATCTGCACATATTTCTTTGTAATTCAGAATACATGTAGTCGATATCATTGGAAACCTTGGCATCTTACCTCTGAATCAGAATTCATCTTAGTGGTTTTAAAAGATGTTTCTCCATTTAACATAAGTTTATAATAATGGCCCCACCTAAGCTTCTTAGCGATCACAGCCATTTTTCTTGTTCATGGTTTTAAGATATTCTGAACTTTCCAGCTAGCAATATTTTTTCAAATACACCTTTTTTTCCCCAGCTAGTTATTTAAAAGCTAACAATACAAGTTTAATATTCCAAGGCTGTCAAATCCTCTCAGCGGAAGGGCGGGATAATTAGCGTTGCATTGTTGGCATTTCCTACCTCCTGCTCCCTCTGGAAGACAACCACTCTGCCTCCTTTATCCCCGGTGGCCAACAGCTCCCCCGATGAGTTAAACTCAACCGTTGAGATAATGTCAGCTGCAACACAGGAAGCAAAGCAGAGAGGGGGAGAAAATGTCAGTATGGACGGCATGCACAAAGCTGTCAAGGTATCAGTCGGACAGAAACAAAGAGCTTTCAGTTAGATCTGGTAGAGTGACTTCTAGAAAAAAGGGAAATCTCTTGACAAACCCACAGAGGACTGTTCGGTACAGATACCCTGGTTTGGTGAAATATGGGTTAGGAGAAGCCATTGATTGAGTCACTGCATGATATCAACTAATTCAGCCCCTTGTCGGACTGAAGTGAGCCAATCTGTGTCATTTAATTGCAGTCCTGCTTTTTTTTAAGGGCACTAACCATGGCCATTCACTCTCTCCTCCCGGTTGCAAGACCCCGTGCTGCTCAGGGACTCTCCTGCTCCTTCATTAAAAAACCTCAGTCATACACCTTTAAAACATGACCTTTTAGCACTTAATATATGTCCATGTATGTTTTAATGTTCAATCTATGCAGTGCATCAACAGGGTGACAAAAAAACACAAGAGCAGTAAGATACATTTGCTTCATCGCCAACATCTCTCAGTGTCTCTGTGCATAGCTGCAGTTCCAACACAAGTAGATAACAGACACCTACCCTTAAGGTAGCTCTCATACATCTGCCTAGATTTCGGAGAGGCTAATGGTGACTGTAACTATTATACAGCCCTGGGCTAAAAAGTAATATGCATAATATGTCTGTGACACACACACACACACACACACACACACACACACACACACACACACACACACACACACACACACACACACACACACAAGCCCTCTGTTTAACAGTGACAATAATATTAGACAGAAAAAGAAAGAGAAAGAGAAGCTTGTTGTTTTGTGCCCCCCCCCCCCCCCCCCCGCCCCTCTGTGGACGCTACTGTCGGAGCGCTAAACAGGAGATGGCGGAGCGCTAAACAGGAGAGGCGAACGTTGCTATGGAGACCGTTTCCATCTCTAGCGGCAGTCGGAGGGGTGTGTGTGTGTGTGTGTGCCAATAGCTCTAGTACTTAGTTGCTGATGCTAGCTGTAATTCAGCAGACAGAGAGAGTGCTGCAATAGAGTGAAACGCTGCTACTGCATCTGGGGGAGTGAGTGCCGTTTCAATGCAGCACACAACTTCAGACAATGGAGTCCCTGTAGACGGGCTCATCCCTGCATGTAGAGATGCTGTGCATTGTGGGAATGACTAAGCGCCATGTCTTCCACTGCATGTGTGCGTGTCCTCCCCTGGTTTCATTTAATTGTTGATGACACCGGAGGGATTCTTATGCCCATGTGTTGATAATGACATGAGGTGGGGGCGCCGATCCTAATCATATTCGAATCAGAAAACTAATTAACGTTTCGCAGACAAGACCCACTCTGACCTAATTACAGCCTGGGAGTACCCCACCGACACGAAATATCGTCAAAGCATAGACCCTCGCAAGTGCAGAAAAACAGCCCTGTTTCTGAATCTGCACAGAGATGTGAATTGCAACCCCCCAGCACTCACACACTCCCACACACACAACTGTGTATTCCCAAACACCATCAGGCCAAGGCCGCCGGTGTGAATCGAATTGAATCGGCTTCGCAGTCAGCATCCTTGAATCAAAGCTTTTCTCTCTCCCTCGTTTTGTCTTCCCTGTACTTTGTTCACTCTTTCTCCTCATCATTAACCCATTAAGTCACTGAGGAGTAACAGTAATTGATGGGTGCCATTTTAACGAGTTTACACACGGATACATCCTTCAATCATCTCACTGAATGGAGAACCGTGGCGAGGCAGTGAAGCGGAAACTCAGAGTAACGTGATGGAATGCTTCCCGAAATGAGTTTTTCCTCATGCAAATGAATTCAAACACGAGACAACTGCAATTTATTCAACCTCGGCTACTGATGAAACCGTGTTACAACGGCAACATACAGTGTGTTCAAACAAACTGTCATTACAGAGAACAAACTGCTTTGCAGAGGAGTCGCAGGTGGGCGGGGTCTCTGTCACGATTTCCGCGTGCACCAGATCAACATCAGCAGGTTCAAGGTGGACTTGAATTAGCATTAGGCTGATCAAATGTGTGCTTACACACACTGCCTCATACACACACAGATTCATAAGCAGACCCTAACCAGATGAAGCCCATAAATCCTGTGGCCAGCCAGGTCTGACGCAGACAGGTCAGCGCTTCTTGATGCTTCGGAGGGATGCTCGAGATAACACACATCCATCACCGGTAATAACACAGACAAGCCTGCTGGCCTGCTGCTGTGATGTGTGAGTATAACTGTGTACGTAAGACTGAAAAAACACAGGCCGTTATCTGTTTCTATTCACCGATCTGAACCTCAATAACCTCCCTTCAGCATGCAATATAGAATTGGGACGTTCCAATTGGATGGAAACATAGATATGCATTGATTCTGGAATGAAAAGCGTGCACGAGGTTCCAGAAACTCGGGGCGGGGAACGGGATATTGGATGTATTTATAGACGCCTGGCAAGCACCATCCATCCAACATAACAGAAAGGGCCGCTAAAAGAAAAAGAGGGGGGAAGTCTGGCAAGTAAGTAGGTCAATAAAAGATCGTACAGTGAGTCTCGTCGGCGCAGACTACAGCAAAGACAAAAATAGGAGCACCCAGGCTAACCTCTAGACAACATGTAATCCTTTTAGGAGTGGAAAAAGGCTAAAGCAAACAAACTGAGTTGATCCTGTGGTATTGGACGGTTGTGTAAGACAAACAGACCCAAAATGATACATTGGAAAGCTAGTTGTGTAAGTGACGTGCAATAATTCCAGGTAGAGGGAGGGACGTGAGCAACATGGTGTCGTGTAAATGCTTTGTTAGCCATTGATGTGGAGAGGAGAGGATTACAACACTTGTGCTGAGCTGCCTGCGTCAATGGATCAGGACGGGGGATCATTCACGTCCGTTCTCGTACTCTCTTTCACACGACACTCTTGTTTTTTCAAATCAACAATACGTATCAATCTTCACTTTTTCGATCCGGGAACCACATACCCGCATGTTTCCTACATTTGAATAGGCAGCTGATAACGGCTTCACTTCACACAAGTAACAATGGAGATCAATCGAAATGTTGAATAAACCCTGCTACCCGCTGGTCCGGTGCCCAGCCGTTTGATTAAGGCTTTATTAGGCTTTATTAACAGCACACAAAGAGACAGAGCACAATGCAGCTCTCTTCATCTGAAGAGCATGACTCTGTGTAAGATCTGGAGTGAACAAGCTAATTAACCTGGTTTCTCCAGGATCAGCCTCTTGAGAATCAGACATAATGTGTGTGTGTGGGTGTGTTTACTTTCTTCCTTTTGTACGTGTACGTATGCTAGCTTTTCTGTATCCCCCTGTCCGGGGAGTAGAGGGTGAAATGGGCGAGACGTGTTACTGCTTCATTTCTCATACTTCATTAACACTTTGCCGTGACTACAGACACGACAGCGTGCAACGAGAAGAAGAAGTGGTGAAAAGCAGTGAAATCAGCGATCGATTCCTGCATGCTCCAACATGAACACCAAGAGGGATCATTTAAGATGCTTGTTATTTGGTATTCTCTCAGAAATTCAAGATGCAGGAGGGGGGGATGGTGGGGAAGCGGGGGTGCATGGAATTATAATCCACCAAAACAAAAGCTGCCTCTCTATCCGTCTGTGTTGCTCCAGTGCAATCCCTTTCATCTTCTTGTTTTCAACGCATCAAACATTCGACGGTTGCTGTACACACTCAAATCCTGTGTATACAGTAACCTTATCACCGAAACATGAAATATTCAGAGTGACGATGCTTCTTGGACAGGACACAGGAATTAGCTATCAAAACTTACAAATGTATCCCATTATAAAGTCCAGAAAGGTCAAACACTGCTTACCCTTCAGGCTAGCAGTACTCTGGAAGACTCACCTACACTACATGTATCACCGTGACGCCTCAAATGAACTGGAAGCCAGTTGAGGAAAAAGGATATTTTTTGTAATCGTCTTACAGTAGCAACGCCATGGGTATTCTTTAATAAATTCTCATTAAATGTTCATGGAGCTGCAGACTTAATAAGAAGCTAATCAGGGGATGAAAGCAGCTGCTGAATAAGGAGTGTGACTCGCCCCAACTTCACAGCTTGCCATTAAGCGCCCGCCACCCCCACACCAGCCCCCATACACACACACGTAGACATTATCTTTCTTGCGCTCTACGTGGCGAGGCGGGGTTCGGCGTTTTGAGTGTTTCGTATTGAATAATGGATAGGACCTGGGGGTATGGTGGGCTAAGTCTTTTTTATGCCGGGGTCCTAAAGTGTGGCCCCAGGCCGTTTGCATTGGCACAGGCAACCATAGTCGGTGCTACTCTCTCATCAGCAGCTGCAATAAAGGCTGTAAGCTGTGTGTTACAGGACTGCATCAGTATTCAGCGGGGCTAGAGGGGTCACATCACACACAAGCTTGTATTCGCATCAGACAGAGGCAAAGCAGAAAGAGAGAGAAAATATGAGACAGAGGGGGCAGGGGAGAGAAGGTGGAAGGGATTACATGTCCCTACCAATAGATCTTTAGGTCATTGTTCCGGTAGCTAAATTGTAAAGGACCAGAAATCAATACCAAGGCAGACATTAGGTTAGGTCCTGCCTCACAGCAAGGAAGCTATTTACATGTTCACACCCCAAGTGGTGTTGGGCTATTTGACAATTTCATCCATTATAGGAACATCCAAGGTGCAGATTATGAAAATTAACTCAGAACCATGTTGTAGGAGCGTCACCGTCCATTGACTCCACACACAGTGATATACACAGCTGCAGTGAGACATGCCATCCATTCTATCATCATTAGCAATGTGTCATCTGCAAGCGAACGGTGAATGCAAATCAGACAATCAGTCATGTAATTTGTAATCTTTAACCTAGACAACAACGATGTCTTTGCAATGTATGCACAAAATGTGATTTAGGGTCTCTCCATCAAAACAAACACATCATTTAGTGCTGCTTTCAAGTGGCGCAACATTATCAGAGTTTGTTATTGTAGTCTACTCCTCCCGTTAGCATTAATTTATTGTTCAATCAGGTGTTTTTTACCTGGAGCAGAGTTATCCGAGGATCCGAGGTTGCCCTGTTGGCTATCCTTTCTATTTAATGTCTATTAAGCCTTTTATCTGCACTCTACCTTTGCTGCTGTAATGGCCTAAATGTGCGCGTTGGACGAATAAAGTATTTCAGATTTTTGTTTGTAAATCGGTATTTCTCCGTCACGGTTTGGCGGACATTGGATGGAGTGGCTGCAAGCTAACTGCTAGCCTTGACGTAGTTTATTTAGCTGATAATCTAAGATACACACTTCCAATGAATACTTTATTTATGTCAATGTACTTCTGGCAGTCAACTTGCTGGTACATTTGGAAAAGCAACCAAATAAAAGAGATTGTTACATTTGGTATAATGGAGGTACACAACTCAACATTATATGTAACATGGTTCTGGTCTAGTGATTTTAGACATTTGAATGTGGAACTGTTGCATTATATCTTGAGAATAATTTAAATTAACAAGTATGAACGACCAGTACAGCTTTACTCACAGCGTGTACACGTTATGTAGTCGACACAGCGGGTCAATGTATCCGCCCACAGACCCACTGAGGCGTGGGATTGGTGCAAACCAAAGGTCAGCGCGGGTGACATCATTAAAATGTGACATCATTTTAGTGTCCTGCTGCTGTGGGCAAGCGCGGCCTGAGGGGAATCCCTACCAGCTCGCCGACACTCATCAGAGACCTGCCTGTGTGTGTGTGTGTGTGTGTGTGTGTGTGTGTGTGTGTGTGTGTGTGTGTGTGTGTGTGTGTGTGTGTGTGTGTGTGTGTGTGTGTGTGTGTGTGTGTGTGTGTGTGTGTGTGTGTGTGTGTGTGTGTGTGTGTGTGTGTGTGTAGTACGTACGTACGTACGTACGTACGTACGTAGTAGTAGTAGTAGTAGTAGTAGTAGTAC